TTCTCAAATCTAAAAGAAATGTTTCTAGCCCTTAAATAATTACTGCATTTAAAATGGCAGTATTCTTGATAATATATTAATTTAAAGATGATCGTCAATTGAGCATACACTGAAACAGAAACATCCAGTATAAATTTTGCATTCAGTTTTGAGACATAAAAAATAAATATAAATATATTAGAGGTGAAGATGTTGATCTTGAGGAAAGAAAATAAACACATTTCGGTCTGACCTTAATATTCTACAATCTGTCTGAGAAAAGCTTTTGGTAAATGGTGAAATCTGTGGGCGTTTGCCAACGATTTTTTCAAGTTAATGAAATCATGTAAGTAAACAAGGTAATCGTATACGTTAGATTACGCTTTTTTTCAGAAATTAGTCTGGTATTTTAGAGCGTCTGAAACAATGACATTCCTCAAATCATTCGTATATTCTTAGAATCAGCCTCCGGTTTAAAAACTGATAAATTGGCTTCCCACAAGGCGTTCCCGTGACGCAATAATTAGTGGCCGGGACGAGTGACAGCTTGACAAGCATTCTGATACATCCTATACACGATACATGCTCATTTGTTTGCTAAGGAAACACAGATTTAGCAAAGGAAATCCTCCCATATTCTGGAGGAAATATTTCGAATTTTAACACTCATTCTTATGATACTCTCTCAAGTATCTGTATCTCTCAAGATACTTTATTATTAGGTATCAATGGATTTTTTTTAAATTATTGTTTCTAATTTTTCACAAGGGTATGGTAGCAATACCAACGATTAATCGCTTTAATGGATATCTCCTGGTGCTATTTTTTTCTTTCGTTCTACGGTAAACTTATTTTCATTTTTGCTTATTTCAATTAATTTTTATCTTCGTTTTTAATTTCACTTGCAGTTCTGGAAATTAAAATGAACTCGGATACTGTTTGCATTAGAAGCTTTGACTGATCTCCAACCATTTCGTCCAAATTAAGAAGCAACTTTTGCCTCAATGTAAACCTAAGCAAAAATGTTTGACTTAATCACCATAAGAAAGTGTAATAGTGCGATGGATTTTACTCCGAACGAAATATAAATGAGAAAACTGATTGGGTAAAAATATTGTGTTTCAGGCAAATTCTCGTTTTATCTGAAACTTAATGTTTTCGAAGTTACAATGTGTGAAAGTCTAAATAAAATTTTCGTTTTTTTAAATACATATTTAATAGTTTTACTATTCCGAAAACATGTTGTGTTTAATCGTTTTTTTATATTAAAAAATCTAAATTTTCTATTACTTAGCATGTAGTTTTTAGAGCGTTCTTGCCGCAATAGTCTTGAGCCTTTTAAGACCTCAAATAAAAAAAGTTACTTTTATGGGTTTTAAAGTATCGCGTTTTGGTTGACCATATCTCATGCTCCAAAATTTCCTAAACAAAAAATGTGTATATGATTGAAGTCGATATCTCTCACGTTTCAAGAAATTTCACATTGAAGCCTATTTATTTTTTGGAATTAGGTGACTCAAACGCTAGATCTCCAATTAAACTCTGCTCAAAATTCTCTGCTTAAATTCTGCTCAAATTTTCAATCACACAAAGCTCAACAAACATTTTTTATTATGGCATGTTAAGAAATTTTTTAAACTTCTTTTTAAACTCAGAAGCCTTTAAAAGTTCTTATTTCATAATAATTGTTCTAACTGAACTACTTGATTTCAATACATTTATTAACTTTTTTAATAAATGATTGTCATACTGAAGAAATAAATTGTTGTTTCGGAAGTCTTTCGCAGCATTAATATTTTTTTTGGTGCATAAACAAACCATACAAAATAAGTTAGGTCGGGGCATGTTCAATAAATTCAATGTAATGTTTTAAGTTAAAATATTTCTTTTTGCACTTAACTGTAAAATAATTTTTGTCCATGTAAAAGAGATTTTTATCTTGAACCAACTGCACATTTTTCGTTTATAGACGATTCAAGAACTAACCGACAACAAGATTTTGCCAACAAAAAAGCGACATAGCGCTAGGAACTACAAGCGAAGTAATAAACAATTTGGATCATACGAGCTAAAAAAACTATCAAAGCAATTTAGTTTGGGGGTAGTAAAACTGGTTAAACATCTATTAAAGAAAAACGAAAACTTTGTTTGCACTGTGACACTCTGTGCCTGGAAACTATTCACTTTCGAATCAAATAAATTTGTCTGAAACGCAATATTTTGCCTAAACAATATGTCAGTGAAAGCCACCCTGTAGACATTTGTAAAAAAAAATTGAAAACTTGTGAGTTGTAAGCAGTTGCCATTCAAGCAGATACACAATAATGTATAGTTAATAGAAACTTGATGAGAGAATTTTAGAAAATTGAGTGCAAAGGTTTAAAAGATAAAATCGCCGAAAGAACGTTATTAAACATATTTAACAGTTTCCAACATCATCGCCAGAAATGTGAATTACTGTGATTCGACACATTTTCTTAAATATTAGAGTATCAGAAAAATTCTTGAAAAAAAGGCATGAGGAGAAAATGTCTGTTTTTTATGGAAAATTGAAAATTCAAAAAAAATGTTCAAGACTTTTATGGTATCAAGCACATAGTGAAAAGTGCCACAAAATAGTGTATGTAATAATGGTTATTCATATAAGACAATCAGTGTTTTAACTGTTCATGGCCGCCTAAACACTTTGTTTTTAAAGTAGACAACAAAACACTTATACTTGAGGCATATGGGTATTAAGTAGAGTTCATTTAAGTCGAGAACACTCTTGCATCTAATCAATGTGGAGATTCGAATAGATTGTTAAGTAACATCCGGTTGATGGTCTTAGATTTGTGTATTTCTCTAGCATCGTTAAGGTTTCTGCCATAAATTTGTGTCTGAATTGAGTTGACACGAATACTAAATTTTTGCTATTTTCGGGGAAATGAGCCAAAGCTCTTTCCAAAAATCAGTATTTTTTAATCGCGAAAATTCTGTAATGTTTACGAAAAAGGCTTAACCATTCTCATTGCATAATATAAGCATGCAATACATATAAAATCAGTTTGCCATGTTTTAAGAAAACAGCCTCTTCTTAGGTCTATAAGAATCGACAACTTCGTTCGATACGGAGTTCCTTTTGTTGTTAACAAAAAATATTCATACGGTTTGTTTGGTCAAATTTCACAAGTGTCCCAATATACGAATTTCAAGCTCAATAACCGCAATTTATAGTTCGGCTGGCTGTTTCAAGCCAGAAACTAGGTATATAGATTTTTATTGGCAATGAGTCATGGAATGGAATCTTTTGTTTTAGTTCGATATTTTAATGCTTTGGAATGGTTTACATCCTTGAGAACTATAATAGTTGATTGTGTTAAGCTTTTAAGCAATATTTTCTTTAATGGTAAACGTTGAGCGTCCTTCTAGCTTCTGTAAGAAAAAGCACACATACACCACTTTGAATAAAGACAACACTTCACAGCATTTAGCCCCCCGTATATTAGAATATTCCAAATATCACTCTAATGTGATATTGTGTATATAAGCCGAATAGATAATTCGTTAATTTGACGCTACTTTTAGAAAATTATGAAAAAATGCTTATTACCGCAGCTGCAAAAGAAATATTTGGCAAAGTCGTCTGGAAATGCGAAAAACGCTGCCAGGTAAAAAGTCTGCAGGGGTCGAGCTATGGTAAGACTTGTGGACTACGATAGTCGCACGTGTGAGACACATGTGCTCAATCTGTTTTTAAAACCTTTCGCAGCGGCGTCTCATGTAAACCGATCCTTAAGAAAAATTCTGTTTTTTTAAGCTACCATTTGCGTTCAAACTTTGTTCTTAAATTACGTCGCATTGATTTTTTCAGCAAAAGTCTTTCACTTTTATATGCAAAGGTGAATGAATGAGAATACAGTAAGATTAATTGCAACCACGATATGGTCATAGGGTACATCTTGATTCTCTCTAAAGCGAAGCTTTTATAAAAAGACGTAATAAGTTTTAGAAATACAAAAACAAATTAAATTTGAGGACATCCACACATTTACTTATTCCCTCAGAAATCAAGGGGTTTTATTAGTTTAAATCTACAAGTACGCTCCTGAAATAATGTTAGGGGGTTGCCAGCAGTTACTTTATATACCCGAAGTAATGGCTCACGATGGCAATGACTTCTGCTATTTATTTATTTGCTGTAAGGCAACCCATTCATAATTCTCCCTATAAATTAGTTAAATTTAGAACGAAAAATTATATATCGTCAAATCTGCAGCAAGAGAAAAGACGCGGAGTTGTTCAAGCCTTTTGGTACGCTTGAGCTATAAAATTTTATATAGTGAAACCAATGTTTATGTTGGTTATCCCAATGATTTTATTAAAGGTTTGGTTTATTTGAAGTGCTTTAAATACAGCGCGCTTTTTATAAATTATCGATGTGAGCCAGACTCGATTACTTTCTCCATTTTCTAAATTAACGTCCCAAACCGAATTCAGCTGGCTCCAAAAATCCTTCTCAGTTCCTTAATATAAATAAAACTGTTTTTTCTTCGATAATTGTTTAATCTACGCAATAATAAGTTTGATTTCATTCGTTATGTGGGTGATATTTACGCTTGGAATAACATTTACGTATTTTCCAGTGTTTCCAGAAATTGCCTTTTTCATTTTTATAAACATTCACAGTTTATTGAATTTGCTAAATTGTTTGCTATTTTTTCGGGCGGTTTTGTAAATTTAGCCTCGTGTACTAAAATAAACGTATGTTGTTAACTGTTTTGGAGATTGCCAACTTTATCGTCAATGTAGCGCTGGAAAGGTGCATAAAGGAAATTTACATTATGTCAATTAGATGAGAGTCTACATGAAATAATTCGCCATGGCTCTTTTAAACATTTAGTTCCTTTAACTCGGCCGTATTTTTTCCACAAATGTGGAGTCCGATTGTAACAGTTAATTAATTTTATTTTCATATTGCTGTAAATTTAGACAATGCTTACTGAATATAGCTCAGTGTACATTGTTGTTTTAATTTTCAGAAAATTTGACGAAAACTCACTGACAAGATGCCCATACTTCCTTGGAGCTTTTTTGCAGTCTGCATCTACACATTACACGTATTGGCTGTTGATCCCACAGGTCAGAGCTTTATAAGTTTTTCCGCAGTTAAGATTTTATAAAAGTTTAACTATTTTTTCAATATTTCATCCGTATGATGTTCAGGTATATAATGGGTCAACATTTGCTTCTAATGCAGCATGCACTTAAGACCCAACCTGATGGAACTAAATGAGCTTAAATAAGTTTTATAAGCGTCTGCATGAACATCAATCTTGATTTACACGGTTGCAATAAAATAATTTGTTGAGATAAGGACCCCTAATTGAAGAATTGTCTTCTATTTTATCATTCGTAATTGGAAAATTAACGTCAATTTTGCTCACGTTTGCATAAAGTTAAATTCATCTCTGGAAGTCTTAAGCGTCTTAAGTATGTTGTATGTTACTGAAAAAAGTGAACTAAAAAAAGAGCCTACAAATTTCCCAAAAGATAGAAATGTTTTATTAACTATTGAAGAAGTGCGTTCCATTGATTCGCAATTTGTTAAGTATTGCGTACCTTTGCGTGTTCATGATTTATTGAAATTAGTTTCAGAAGATTTCGAATATTCAGCTGTAACTGAAATAGCAGCCAACACCTCTGAACCAAAAAGGCAGACTATTAAGAAAACCGTTAATCAAGATGTTGAGTTATCTTGCCTGGAAGAGGAGAACGTTGAATGGAAATTCCGATCGCTCAACAGTACTGAATTCAAGCCAGTGGTCGTAAGTTAGAAAAGAACCAATTCTCAAATCTCTTCAACTAATTGCAATTTAATTTTTCGCAGTTTGAATCTTCAACGATGCTGCTTCCTAACTTAACAGTGAAATCCCAAGGAGTTTATACGTGTTACTCAAAGGGAAACTTGGTTGCTGAATACAATGTGACCATTCTTGAGCCAGCACATTTTGTAAATACTGGTAAAATGCAACGGTTTATTGTAAAACCAGCTGGTAATATGGCTCAACTGAAGTGTCGAGCAGGAGGAAATCCAACTCCAAATATAACCTGGTTTAAAAATGGGAAAGAACCAAAGAGGCATTATGGGGAATACAGACAAAATCATTGGTCTTTGATCTTGGAAGATCTCGTTACTGATGATAGCGGAAACTACACGTGTGTTGTGTGCAATGAATTAGCTTGTGTGAACTTTACCTACGTATTGGGCGTTATCGGTAGGTCCTAACAAGTTTATTACAAAAATAGTTGAATTAATTATGAAAAAAACAGTTTTCGGCAAAAATGTACGAGTTAATGCAGGTTTCTAAAAATACATCCAAAAGATGATGAATTGATAGTAAATTGAGTATTAATCTGAAATGCCTTGCAGGTTTATTAGAAACTACCACGTAAATAATTTATACAACGCATATTCGAAAAACTAAATAGGTATACAAAACATATATAGATTTTAAAATACATCTTTTCCTTATAGAGTAGAATTAGATCTTCAAGTCATTTTTTTTAAATTGTGGAATAGTAATTAATTTCTCTGATTCATTACTATCCATATAAAAAAATATCTTAACAATTTTAGTTTCGTAAAATCGACAAATTCAGTTTACATGGGAGATTTTAGAACGGTTAAAACCTTAGAAATTTGAATGTATTACATTATCAATATGGTGATGGTGCTTGGGAATACTTTAGCGCTTTTTAGAGGGTTTAAGTTGGTAAAATAATTTAAAATTTTACAAACCGATATAATAGCTTTGTCACTAACATTTCATTTGGAAAACATATAATTTACGTTTAAGGGCATAATAAACAAAATCTACGTAGGTTCAGTTATGCTATTGGTCGCAGGATAAATAAGTGAATATTGTCAAGCCGTTAATGACACACGTTTTGCACATTTAAATTTCATCTATTTTTTAAATAAATCGGCTTTTCTCAGAACTAAGGACATTTGAAATGAATCGTATTTATTACAATAATTTTTGCTAAGTCCATTCGAAAATTTCTCGGTAACTGTTGAGTTTAAGTTAAGTTTAAGCAAGTAGGTTTATCTGCCAAAATATTGGTGGTGGTAACTTAATTTTGGGTCACTTTATATCAATACATTTTGGTATAAAAAACAATACAATACTTCTTTAATTACATTTATTATTGGAATTGGACTGAAGCCAGTCCTGACTGAATCTCTATTACATGATCCCCGCTGACTTGAAAGCTGGATCCGCCCTTGCTTCGATCGTTATATACTGCACATAATTGATCACATTACTATACAAATCCTATAACGTATTTATTTAAATGTAAAATTATTCTATTATTTCAAAAACTTGAGATTTTAAATTGAATAAATATATTTAAAATTAAATTTCATCGAAGCACATATCTTTATTCTCCATATTAGTTTTGAACGCGATAAGCTATAACTTCCACCTAAAAATCTAATCAATTTAGAAACAAGTAAGAAAATCGTAATTTAGAAAAGAGAACCAATCATATTGTATTGGGTGAATAACAACGTAGTGCAGGCATTAAAGAACTAAATTTTTGAGTTCAAAATGATCCTTTAAATATTATAATAATTAACATTTTCGTTTTAAACCTGGATCCGAATATGAAACCCCTTCAAACTCCAGGCATTGAAACATCCATAAAAAATTTGATTAAACACTATCAGCAATAAATTTTAAATCATTCAAAACTCAATGGTGTTTCACTTTTACTCTCAGAAAAATAACACGTGTTGTAAGAAAAAAAATAGCGACTTTTCGCTCTTTAGTAATTTTTTTTTCAATTGAATTGAAAACATTATGACACAGTGAAAACATTTACACATTAAAACCTTTAGAACGCGCTGATTTGGATGCCTCATTGTGGATTACTAATTACATTATACATTTATTGATTTTATTGATTTTACATGACCGTTATTAGCGGTTAAAATAAAGTATTCTTTCTAGAGAGATATCACAATACACCGATTCTTACACAAAGTCCAGACAACTTAACTGTATTAACAGGAAGTAAAGCGCGATTTCAATGTAAATTTGTCAGTGATTTACACCCTCATATGACTTGGTTGAAGCTCGCACCAGAAAACAATTCTTCTGACGAAATACAGGTATGCATAATAATGTGTGGAAATTGCATTAGAAAAATGCATGTGGTTTTCAATGTTTTTTACGTTTGGTCCTGCATCACGTTCCATTCATCATTTCCCTTTCATACTGAATCATCGTCCAAAATTTGTATCCTTAGTATACAGGTTGATTCAAAAGTTTTGATCTGAAGATACAACAGAAAAAAATGTGTTCAACATCAAACGCTTTATAGTAACAAATCCGGTCGGGAATTGTTTTATTAATTTTACTTAAGATGAATTTCAAATCGTCCAACTTTATGGAAATATATGTAGTTGTATTTTCGAGCACTTCTTCACCCTAAACAGAATTTTCAATAATAATCAAACTACAGTTTGGTCAAATAAAAATATTTTTGCATTGAGGGATATAAAAAAGTAATCAGCATCAGTTTAGCTTAAATGTGATGAGACAATAACGGGTGATTATTTTATAGGAGTGGTATATTCGCCATGATCATGAAAACGGTGATAATCCATTCACTACAAGATACAAATGGTTAGAAGGTAACTAACTATTACTTAAAACTCTACCACTTTGCATAAACATTGTACTCTAGTTTATGCATGGCAAAGTTCTCCACATTTTTGGATAATTACTCTGATCAAATTTTATGGAATCTCTGAATAAAGCAAGACTCTGGCCTATCCTGATCTAAATATCTTCGATTTCTATTTATGGGGTCACTTGAAACAATTAGTTCGCATCCGACCAGGGCTTACTAATGTTGTCCCCAGGCAAAGAATGGCGAAAGTATTTAAAATGATGTTTTGTCTTCCAGCAATAAAATACTTAGAGTGTATCTCGGAAAAGACAATTTTTGTGTCTGATACTACTAGAAATTTCTCTTTTCTGCTCTTCATATCATGTATGCGTCCCTTAAAATCCTTAAAATAATAATATAAATAATTGAATCATCCTGTATGCTATCCAAGTCGGTCTTAATATAATAAAAAAAGAAGTTGTAGGAAAGTGGCTTTTCAAATTTAGCTACAACTGAACTGTGCAATAAATGTGCTATTTTAGAATTATTGATGTCGTTTTTAGGAGATTTTGTCACATAATTTTTAAAGCAATTAGCTGCAATCGCTATCTGAGGGCCTTATCTAGGCTTTCAGCTAGCTAAAAAGTTATTTTTTTTTCTCTTCACTACCTACACCTAATATCCAAGAAAGAAACCTGGTTAATTATGGTCAAGAAACGATCACTTATTTTTTTGACATTTATTTTGAATAAAAAAGAAAGAATACAGAAGAAATAAAATGAAAAAAAAAAGTTTTGTTTTACACCGCTTATAATTGGCTGCATCTTCTAGAATGATATTGCATCCAAATTGGCATGGGAAATCCACCAATGAAAGCTTTTGTGCCTGAACTAACAAACACTTAGCTGTAGGCATGAATATTTAATTTCAAATGCAATTGAAATTGTCTTGCTTTTCCCTGCCAAGATAATGAGATTTTTACTTCGTTAGAAGCCGAAGAGTTCTATTACACCCGAAGAGCTGGAAATTAGTAATGTTACTCACGAAGATGAAGGGTGGTACATGTGCATAGCCACAAACAGTTTAGGAAGTACCACCGCTAAAGCGTATCTAACTGTTGTGGATGTACTGCCAGGTAGCAAAATTGCATACTGTTTCGCTAAAAACCTATTGGTTTAAATACTTCTAGATGCTCACGAGCCCAAGCCGAGTACATTGAAAATTGTACTAATAATTGCGGCAGTAACCGGCTGCGTATTTTTGTTGCTGTTTTATATTTGCATTTATTACAGACAGAGAATCAAACGGTAAGCTAAGAGGCACTTATGGGCACAAACAGAAAATGTTCACTTTGTTTCTTCTTGGCTTTAGAGAAAAACGACAAAAGATGATTGCCATAGAATCGGCAAGGTCGGCCATGATTACCCAATGGACCAAGAAAGTGATTATTGAAAAAATGACTAATACTGAAGACGTATCCGAGCCTCTGGTAAGACAAAAAAAACTTAAAATGTCAAAAATTGTTCTGCAGTTTTTAAATTCGCCCAGACCATTTTTTTCTACACAGTGTAAAACTCTGCTTCAACAATCGATGAAAAATCTTATTGCAAAAGGTGAATGTTATTCATAAAATATATGTATGTACTCATCGTTAGTTAACATGATTTAGACAAGAAATGTGGGCTTCATCAAATCTAATTTTCAAGTCAGTTCAGCTAAGTGATGTACGTTCACTTGTCTCAACTATTTTCAAGGATTGAAAGCCTGGAAGAAAGTTAAAAAACTACTAGAAAAATAATTGCTGAAAATATTAATTAATTCCAGCTAATGCCAGTAGTGAAAATCGAGAAGCAGAAAGCGCAACTAAACAACACAGGCGATAATCTGCTTTCCGAGTATGAGCTTCCCATAGATACAGACTGGGAAATACCCAGGGAGAAGCTAATTATGGGCAAAAATCTTGGAGAGGGAGCATTTGGAACAGTGGTAAAAGCGGAAGCTATCAATTTACTAAAGCCTGATAGCCGAGTAACTGTGGCAGTAAAAATGTTGAAAGGCAAGACTTTGTAATAACAATTCATAAATTTCAGTTTCAAATGATAAATTTCAGACGGTCACAACGATAATGAAATGATGGACTTGGTATCAGAAATGGAAATGATGAAAGTTATCGGGAAAAACATCAACATAATAAACCTGATCGGTTGCTGCACACAAGGCGGTCCACTGTATGTTGTAGTAGAATATGCTCCTTTTGGAAACTTGAAAGACTTCCTGAGAGAACACCGACCAGCGGCAGGATACGAAATTGCATTTGGCACCGAGCCCAAGGAAAAAGAAGCCTTAACTCAAAAAGACCTGGTGTCTTTTGCCTATCAAGTAGCTAGAGGCATGGAATATCTATCTTCCAGAAGAGTAAGAACAATAATCTCCTTATGAGCACGAGACGGTAACGCCAATTTAATTTCCAGTGCATCCACAGAGACTTGGCAGCCCGAAATGTCTTGGTGAGCGATGACTACGTGTTGAAAATAGCAGATTTTGGTCTAGCCAGAGACATCCATTGCAACGATTACTACAGGAAAAAGAGCGATGGTCGGTTACCGGTCAAATGGATGGCACCTGAAGCTCTTTTCCACCGAGTTTACACCACACAATCCGATGTGTGGTCTTATGGAATTCTTTTGTGGGAAATTATGACAATGGGAGGTAAGCAATTATTTCTAACCAGTGCTGTTGGTTTCAGTCACATAATAATATGTGCAAATAAAAAAACTTATTTGAGTGAATTGGGAAATATAGAATTCGTATTTTTAACTACGTACTCTACTACAATAGTTATGTGATTTTGAAAGATTTTATGTCAGTTTGTAGGAAATCTTTCAAGTTTTTTACAAGCAATAAAAGCTTAATACAGGATTTTCCAGAAACGTGTACGAGATCAAACCAATGGTTTTTTTCATTTCATTCAGCTTGTAAGTTCAACTGTTTCCGAGCTAGAAACAATTAAAAATCGAATCTTCTGAATCTAAGTAGGTACATTAGTTTTCAAAAGAATTAAAAAAAAATTAAATTCTAGAAATAATTGAATTAGGTTGTTCAACATGTCGCCTGATTTTCTTGAATAGATACATATTGTATAAATTCGTTTTCGTTTGTCTAATTCAGCTAAAATTATTTCTTCATTTGTTTTCGTATAATATTTCGATTTCTTTAGTGACTATTTTCCTAAGTATATTGACTAATCGCCGTTGGTTGCTTTTAATGATTCAATTTGCTTTTTAAAAATCTCCCCCAAAAAATGATCTAAAATAGCCAAGTTAGAAATATTCGCTGGCCATCTGCACTTCTTCCAATCTGGAATTCAAAATATTCGTCTAAATACTGCGTAACAGCGAAATTTTACACAGGGGCCAAATCACTTCATTATGATTCCTTAAATCAAGAACTACTGCATATATTAATGCCRTAAAAAGCTTCTATTAAAAAAACTTTTAGATTTGAAATGGTTCYCGTTTCAAGRAAACCCTGTATAATGTTTGTATTATYTGTAAAAACACCCATTTAAAATGAACGACCCTGTACCTATTAGTTTTCATATGATTAAGTAACTGCATACATTTCTTGAATGGGGACCACTGTGTATGTCACATATCGTTTCCAATTCGCAATCCAATTTTTTTGCATTAATTTGGTGTCCCATTGACAAAAATTAGAAGTTTGATTTGGTACGCACTTCTCGAAAACCCTGTATTACATTTTTAATGAAGATAAACAAATTCAAAACATTTTTCTACAATCTGCTAAAAAATCTCTTCCGCATCTTTGAAAACCACAAAGTTATAACAGCGGTAAATTTTTAACAAATAACTCCGTACGTTCAATTCAATTTGGGGCGACATCAGTTTTTAAATTAGCATTTTTTCTTGACTTGGTTCAATGAGATTTGAATATTTTTGGCTAAACAAGCAAATTGCCACTCACCTTGATGCCGGTCTACAGCAAATCCTTCGTTTCTAGGAACTCCATATCCATCAGTGCCCAGCGTAGAAAAGCTCTTCCAGCTGTTAAGAAACGGCCATAGAATGGAAAAACCTCCCTGTTGTTCTACAGACATTTACTTGCTGATGCGAGATTGCTGGTGTTACGAGCCCTACAATCGTCCAGTATTTTCCAAGTTGGTTGAAGATCTGGATGCCATTCTTACCATCACCGCCAATCAGGAATATCTGGATTTGGGGCTTCCGCAACTAGACACGCCGACGTCGAGCCAAGAGTCGAGTAGTGACGAAGAATTTCCATTTTCCCTGTGAATTTAAACATGTTTGAATAGAAATTTCGAAGAACTTTTTTATTGTAAATATAAAACTTCTTAAATTGACTGCACCTAGTATCAAGCCTGATACATTTCGGAAAAGAACCGCAAAATCACTTGAGTAATCAGAGCCCTGGTATTTAGTGTATGACCTCAAATATGAACAATTCTTTGTATGAAGAAGGTGGTTTTAAGTTGTGGTAATACCAAATACTCAACGATAGATAGTACGTATTGATTCGACCTCTTAGAAAGCAGAACTGTATATAATTTAGGATTAGTTCCGTTGGGTTGTTTTGGGATGCACTTTCCCCACATAATTATTTCGAAGAAATATCCAATTTTGAGTGATTTTCTGTTACTATTTTGCCATAAAACAGGAAAATGTATATATCAGTATTTATTAGCTCTTTAAGAATGCTGCGGATGTACAAGTAGGCTTAAGATTACAATTACAACGCTTTCTATGCTGTCGATTTATGCATAGGTGCTATGCTATAAATCTAATTTTTTCAGACGTTGATCAGAAAAACAACTGAACATAACTTATTAAATCAACCACAAGCTGAAGTATTAAATTGCAATTAAGCGCGCCTTGAACTAAGAAAAACACAAATTAATTTGCATATCTAATTTTTTCAATTTAGCTTAGGAGAAATCCATAGTCCCTTGAGTTGAATTTGGAATAATCCCTAATTTATTTCGTTTAATTTTAATTGACGTCAACCAAAGAGTGCCTTAAAATCAATTGTATGAACGGTTTTGACTGCAATAAGTAAGAAATAAGTGTGTGTACTATTTGATACTTAAGTGTAAAATAAATTGTCATAATAAAAATAATGTTATTAATTGCAACCTCCTGCCCTTTGTCTCTTCACTTATTGATCACCATGTGTATATTTACCTGAAAGTTTGGTGCTTTCCAGGGAAAAACTCTTATCTAAAATGAATTAAAAATCGTATTACTGTTATAGCAAAACGCAGAAAAAGAACATTTTTACCAAATTTGCGGCTTCTTCATGAAATGTTGTTTAGTAAATCTGCTTTACTTCGATGTGTGAACTTATTGAATTTGCCGCTTATCATGACAACCTATGGGAATAAAAAATGCAAAGAGAAATCTGAGTTTATATTACTTTTGATTAACATGTAACAAATGCAATTTTTAATCATTGTCATATGTCCCTATGCCTATTAATATAAGTATGTTAAAAACAATCGCATGCCAAAGTGAAACCAACTTAACCAATAGACAATTTTCAAAAAACTTAAATAACGACAATTCCGATTACATCTTTGTTTTGGTAAGAACAGCCGAAGACGATTGCATTGTTTCTCGCTAATTGTTTAATACAATGCTCATATTGCACGTTTGCGTGTAATGTATTGTTTGAACCCAACAAGCTGTAGAAAATGTATCATATAAAATAATTTGTTATGGTTCCTCCAGTTGTCAGTAGTAAATATATTTCAGACCAGTGTAGTTAAGTTTTCGAAAACAAAAGTGAAAATAAGAGTGCTGGATAAAATCGAAATGTATTGGAATCTTTCAGTTTTGGTTTTTATGGTTTTAACTTTAAATGTGTTTGGATCGCCAAAAAAATACCAATCTGAAGACGGGTAGGTATCTAGTAAGGCAAAAAGTTACCTTGTTAGTGTGAACAGTAAGAGGAGTTTTCAAAATCTACAATACAAAGTTTCACTACCTAAACAAACTTCCCATCTGGAAAGTTTTGCAAGTTGTAAATTTTTCAATTTTTTCTAGTTATCTCAGTTTATACTAAACTTTTAAAACACATGTCGTTGAAAGCATTGCAATAAGCAATTGAACAATAAATATTATCAGTTATCACGGTATTTTTTAAATTAACAATGTCTGAAACTAAAAACAATTTTTTAAGGTTTCGAAATTTTCTGCAAAGAGTTCAACCCCCTAAGGTCTCATTTAAGTTAAATGTTATTTAAAATTGCCGGCTACAAATATTAGCAACTCGTTATAAAACACCATTTGTATGTGAAAAACCAACACATAAACGTACAAAGAAAAGGGTTTCAAGCAGGTCATCAATTTTTTTGCCCAGTTTCTGTTTGCAAACCACCCTTTTCAAGCGCAAAATCAGTTTCTTGACTTCTAAACAATAAAATCGTAAACAACTGAAAACTGAATAGAGGAAAATATATTATTGAATTAAAACTTTCTAAAAAACATTGCAAACATTGGCATGTTTTAAAATCGCTTTTTGCTCGAATCCTACTTATCATCTTTCGACAGGTTCAGCCCTGATCACAGATACTACGAATCTGACTTACCTTATCAGAAACTTTATAAAAATAAGACGTATGTTCCACAAAATCCCATAGCTGAAAATAAAAAAGACTACAATGCGAAGGAGTCGAGATTTGGAGCTATTTCGTATGGAACTTCCGGAAATGGGTAAGATAGTAAAACACCAACATTACAGGATTCTGGAGTTAAATGAGGAACTTAGGTATGGAGGCTCTGGAGGTAACGGAGCGGTTAATTATGGCTCCATGAAGTTGGACATTGGGGGCGTAGCTCTAGGAGCACTTATTGGATTGGGAGCTATTTTAATAATTCCTAAAATAGCTCAAATCTTTTCTGGAGCTCATGGTGGTTATGGAAGAAGTAAGTTGCAAAGCAAAGCTATAAACCATGCAACTTATAATATCAAAGTGCTATCTCGGGGATCGAAAGTGTATATAATTTCTTGGTATTTTAGGTCTAGAAGATGAAATGTCTTCGGTGACCAACATACTGTCCAAAATAGATAATTCTTTGGCAGCGAATAACATAGATAGCACATCTTGCTCCCAAAGAATTATGTGTAACATTGTAAATGACGCTGTAAAGAACCAAAAAACTGGGGAAGCAAGTAGTGTGGATGACTTCGTCGTTTCATTTACCAAGTGAGCAATTAATTTTGAAAAAATTTCAGGTTTCAACATTTATTCTTTTTTAGGAATCCGATATTTTCATACATCGCGAATGGAACAGCGATAAAAGACGCAGYTGAAATTGGATGGTCTCAAGATGTAGAAAAATGCGGAACCACATATTTCAAATGCCCCTTAACCAGAGAGAATATTATGAAAGTAATATCCGGCATAATGCCAAGCAACTAATTGCAATTATTTACAAGTTTTTAGATAATATATTATTTATTTCGCAACATTGCCTTTACTTTCATTGAAATGATTTTTTGGTGTGGATTATACTCAAACAAATTATACAGAAACATATTGAATCACTGCGTTTATTTTTATAATTCACTACTAAGCATCAATACAACTTTGTATCTATTCATTATCAACAAGTAAAACTCTAGAAAACAACAAAAAATTTTAAGCAAAATAACAAGTCAATAAATTTAATTTATCAATAATTAAGTCAATTAAATACTTACATATTATTAATAAATAATTATTGCAAATGTGATGCGCTATTTACAAGTTTTCGAGTATCAATTCGTCATTGTTCAAACATAAAATACATATTTTTACCAAAAATTTAATAGTATATTAGCTGTTAAAACGGATACAGTATTGCCAAAACTAGATACAAAACTAAAAATTATTTAAGGATTTTGTTAAAAATTAGTCGCTAATCTCCTCAAAGTCTTCTTCCATGGAAATTGCCGGTTTGTATTCGGGCATTTGCATAAACTTAGTGATGAAATAGTCCCTCAAAGGAACAGGGCTGTACTTGAATAAAATGTGATAAAACGTATATCTCCAAGGTTCATGCTTATATAACCAGCTGGGCTGTTCGTCCAAGAGAGCATTTTTAAAGGTTTTATAGAGATTCTCGTCCTGGATTTTCTGCGGTTCACTTGGAGGTGTTAAAAACGACAAATAGATGTTGTAACGTTTAAAGTACTCGCTGTAAAAGCGATGTTGTTCTTCGGTAAAGTTATCGTGCATGTCTTGAACATTTTGTAATTGACGACTCATTATGTTACTTTCGGTCGTAAAAGAACCTGAAAGATGTATAGTTACAATGGATCTGGAGCAGCTAAAAAAGCGCCTTAAATTTTAAATGTTTAGTTCTGAAAATTCAGGACGAATAGCGTAAGATCGTAGTATAAGGCGAATGCGTTAAATAGCGATGGAAACGCTTTGTATATAATTTACCATTCGCCTTTACTTTTTGAGCCTTCGCCGGGCGACATCTACTAAATTATTACTGAAACCAGTTGATTAAAAGTTTTGTATGATTATTTGCGTTCAAATGGATATTATCAAAAATGTTTCAAATAAAAGATCATCCAAAAATTGCAATCTTTAGGAAAAAAAGTGCAAAAAGATTTAGGTCTAGCTATATTGAACGGGCTGATACAAGGTTCCCGCTCCCAGGCGCGATCCCACTACTGCACGACGCGGAGACTTTTGGCTGCTGAGTTTCCCCTCTGGCCCGGTTCGCCTCTCATTGATCAACCTGGCCACCCCAGGTTCCCCAAGGGTGCCCATATTGACGCCATGCTTAGTGTGGACGCCCGGTCAACGCAGAACGCCCTGTACCAGAACTCCCGACCTCAAACCATCCTCTAAACCCGACCTCCAAGCAGCTGGATTACAGGAGACGCCACGCTCCCAGTCGAAATATAACGTAGTTGAAACGGTCCAATTGATTCAAATTTCAAATATTCTTTAGCATACAATTTTAATTAAGAGATGATTGTTAATTTCTAAGCTTCGTGGCTTATGTAGGAATTCATTAATATTTCCCTCAGAAGTAAATATTCCAAATATTAAACCTAAGTAAGAAAATTACATCATTTGATATGTGCGAAATCCCTAATGAGGCACATTTGAGATCCCGATAGGAAATATGTTAAATAATAAAAAACTTAAAAAGAAATATAAAATGTGATTTTCAAAATGATCCATCACTTTTCAGCTGTAAAAGCGGAAAAAATGTATTCTAACAGACGTCCAATTTTTCTATGTGAACATTTCATGTAACTCATAAAGTCACTTGTATAAAACGCTTACAAAGAACAAATTATCAACCAGAAACCATATAATGTTGTAATATCAATATAAAAAACCAATACCTCAATGTACCAATACGAGTGCTGAAAATCAGTAGAGGGTTTTTAGTTGAAGAAAAGTACTATTAAAATGTAAAAAAAATTCCTTTAAAAAAATATAGGCAATTATGGATGCAAATTGTGATTAACACATAAAAATACTAAACAGACAGACAGAAGAAAAGTACATGTGAAGACCGAAGAAATAAACCAATAAACGAAATGTGCCAATGTTTATATTTGCATTAAATGCATTGCATTAAATTAAAAGATCAAAATTTGCTTAAGAACCTGAATATAAAAATTTAAACATGTACATTAAACGAGATTTATAATTTTGTAAATTAAAAATTACAAAAAACGATAGTTTTTGAAAATAAGTAAATAATCCTGTAGGTATTGCAAAACATACAAATATGTTGATATAAAATTGATGACTGCACAAAGCAATAAAAACAAAGGAACTAAAAAGCAGGAGAATTAATTGACTACTAAACAAAATACTATAGAATCTCAAACGTCCCCATACAGGGTGTCATGTAAGCACATGACCAAAAAGGTACTGCGAAAAAATGTCTGGCTTCTGATGTATGATGGCCAAAGTTCTTCAAAAAAATTATCTTTTTGAAATATCAGGAGAATGGATGGATTCATTTTAATAAAACTCGCTGTGAATTTGTTCCGATGTAAGACTCATGTTTTGATGAAACAACTGAGTTCATCCGCGTTTGGCAAGTGAGGAATTCTTGAGGGTCTTGGTACAAAACTACCCGAACTTGTTATTCGGTAGCTGGAATTAACTGATTTTTTTTTTGACTTGATGCACTAATAACACAGCTTAAATATCATGATATATAAGCTGTGCTAATAATCTTTTTTTCACATTTTTGTCCTCTTTGTAAAATATTCTAGCATTCATAGTTTTGTGCAAAAAAGTTATTTCAGTTCTTGCCTTCTGACAATTTTAGACATTCGTAAAGTTTTTACATAAACAAAACTTTAATTTTTAGTATAACATTTTTCTGAAAATACCGTCCTTCCGTAAAAATTCGAATAAAACATTGTAATGTAAATTGTTCCTTTACAAAGATTTGCAGTAAACGTTGGTGTTATTTATTAAACTTAATCGGGAGCTTCAGTTTTTTCACCAGTAACTGTAATTTGCGGCATATGTTTTCAACCACTAAATTGGATGCTTTGAACGCAAGGTTTTTATGGTTGATAAAAAAAATGTCTCGAAATATCATAAATAATAACAAATCCCACCTGGAATAAAAGTGACCACCTGTACTCCATATTTTGCCATTTCGATCCGTATGCCATCATTCCAAGACATTAAAGCAGCTTTTGTAGCCCCATACACTGTTAAGCCTGGTAAATTAGCAAGTGCACAATGACTTGAAATTGTAACAAGTCTTGCTGTAAGAAACGAAATTAACAATATATTCCATTCTTGACAAAACAAACTTAGGCACTGAAGCTAATAATGTAATTAAATTAAATTAAATTATTATATAACAATGCAGTTCAACCAGCATTCAAGAGCAGTTTGCTTAAGTATATTTTCTCAAATTAACCCACCTTTGTGTTGACGAAGTAGATAAGCAAATGCATTGGTTAATTTGAACGTGCCCAGTAAATTAACGTCGATTTGTCGCTTTATAAGTTTCTCAGTTTGCCATTCAAATTCTCCAAATACCATAACACCAGCATTATTAACTAACGCATGAAGACCTTAAAAATAGTTAGTCTATGCAGCCTTCGAAGGGAAAATTATACCATGTTATAATAAAGTGATTGAAGATTACAAGGGTAATTTACAGCATTTCTCAAGCAATAAACTTGCAAATAAGTCTTTTACATTTACAACATTTACTTTAAAAAAGTACGCAGATCAAGCAGTTTCTCGCCTTTAAGTCAACATCACTTGCTTTAAATATTTATGTGTTAACTATTCGAAATTCAAATTGAGCACTTCCATTTGGGAGCAAACACCTTCAAAAATAATTATAAATTATCTCGAAAGAGCCGTACTGAAATAGACAACATTTAGCTAAACTTGGCAGGCGATAAAAAAGAAACTTGTTGGAAATTCTTACATTTATCAATAACCGTAAATGAGATTTGTGTGTCCCATCCGAATATATTTGACCATATCTTTCAATTTTTGTTTAATTGCAACTGATGAAATTCCGAGGATGATACATCTTAACAAATTTTACTTACTGTATCCGGGATTTTTGCTGAAATAATGTTCCATAGTTTGCACAGCATTTTGAATACTTGTGCTATCTGTAACATCAAGTTGAATTTGTATAATGTATCCTCCGTATAGTCTTTTAATTTCCTTAGATCCTTTAGAGTCGAGACTCAAAAATGTCGCTATCACAGTAAAACCACATTCAGCTGCATGTTGCGCAAAAGAAAAGCCCAGACCTGTAAAATTACACTTATTTTTCACTTTTCATTTCAGCTTTATAAGAGGCAGATTCACATTGATACAATATTCTTAGAGTATATTTCATTTTAATAAAAACCCTCAATTAGTATTTTAAATGTGCATACCTTACAAAATGAGTTCTGCCTTCCAAAAGTCTGAAGTGCAATGAGATACGTTTTATAGTTTTTTTAAATTATTGCATCGCATATGCAAAATGGTTTCTGCCTTCTAAAAGTCTGAAGTGCAATGAGATACATTTTATAGTTTTCTTTTAAATTATTCCATCGTATACGACGTTTTAAGTGAATTTAAATAATTAAATTGAAATACATTTGAAGTAAGTATAATGATTGCATTTGGAAATCGCAGGAAATTGTGTGGAATAAGTAATTTTTCCACTCCTTATATATTTTTTCAGTTTTTGGCGTTTTTAGAAGAAATATGAATTCATACATAATGTTATGATGAAATGCACGTTTATGGTGGTTTTTAAGAGAAAATTTTGGAGAAGAAAATACAATATACTTAAATGTTGAGACTATAACTCACTTTTGAACTGTCCTGAATAGGAAATTTAAATTGCAAAATGTGAGAATTTATAAATGTGTTGTGTACAGGTGAAGGTAGAATATAAAATAGATAGCATATATCAACAAAATGCCAATTGATTCTACCAGTCACAAAAGGGTGTCGATTCAATCGTAATTGAACTTGTGCCTTTGGTCTTAAACAACTACCCAAATAAATACTAATATAATAAATAGCAATAGACGACGTACCTAGTTGTTTTTAGTCTTGGACGTCGATTATATACATTATTCATCTTATTCATGTGGAAAATTCATAGCCTTACCTACTATTTCTGACTCGAGCGCAAAGAAAAGTAGGCAAGTATTACCATAACTTGGTAAGACAATTGATCTTCCAATAACGCACGTAAAAACTTACCTGAATCACACCCGGTAATCATTACCACCTTCTTCTTATTAGCTGTTATCTTCGGTTTATCTCTACTGAAGACAAACACTAAACTGGCTGCAGTTATGCCGACCACTGACAAACATTTTACAGTTTGATGTGAGCGGAATCCATGCTGAAGAAGTACTGCCATCCCCAACACCCCAGCCCCCACAGCAGTATACAGTTCATTTAAAATTTCGAAGCAAACTTTTGCCGACTTTGAAAACGCTCCCATCTTCAATTAAACTTTACAATTTTTCGTGTCGTATCTAGACGGCTTAACACATAATGAATTTAAAATCATCTATCTACTGCCGAATGTGTGCATTTAAAATGAGGTGTTTCTGTGCATGAATGATGAATTGAGAAGTTTTAAACACTAGAATTTGAAGCAAAAAAATGTCAACACCAATATAAACAAATTGTCGATAGAATAATGAGGTTATGAAAAATGTATGTCCGGTCGTTTGTTCTTCTTCTGCTTTAGGAAATTTCTATTTTGTATTCAATACATTTAATGTGTAAAAACCAATAGACGCTTTATCTATTGAAATTCTGCTTACTATATTTAACGTATAGAATTGTTTCAAACATACATTATTTCTTGCTTTATTGTTTAGAAGCAATCATTTCGAAGAATACTACCCCTAACCTAAATCTAGTGTAATTTTTCATAAACCAATTTTGCTTATTTTTGAGGTTTTCTATTAGTTGAAAGTGGTGTAGAGCATGTCTAACGCCGCAGCTAGACTGAAATCTGTTAAAAAAGGAGTTATCGACAAGATTAACCATGGCAAATTGTCTACAAATATTCCTGCAGGCCTTGCAGCTGCAGGTCCCCCATTGGGGCCGATGTTAGGGCAGGTGTGTAATTGATTCAGTCTGCTCCAATAAAATCAAGTATCAAGCAGTGGATTTTAGAGAGGAGTAAATATAGCAGCCTTCTGCAAGGAGTTTAATGAACGAACCAAAGATATGAAGGAGGGCATTCCATTACCTACTCGAATGTCGGTGAATTCTGACCGAACTTTTAATTTAGTCATATACAAGCCCCCAGTGGTACACTTCTTAAAGCAGGCCGCAGGGATACAGAGAGGTGCGATGCTGGGCAAAGGTAGATTATTTATTGAACAATTCCATTTTGCCAAACTTATCAAATTCGACTTGCTTTAGAAATAGCAGGAAAGGTGACCTTAAAGCACGTTTACGAAATTGCAAAAATTAAATCAGAGGACCCAACAATGCAGTTATTATCTTTACAAGATATTTGCAGAATGATTATTGGAATTGCCAGGTAATTATTACCTGATTTACTCACACTATATTAACTTGATGGTTGTATTAATTCCTTGTAGGTCATGTGGAATAGAAGTTGTAAAGAAACTAGATGCTGCTGAATATGGAGAGTTTCTGCAAGAAAGGGCCATTATAGTTGAACAGCAAAAGAAGGAACTGCAAGAAGCGAAGGAGGCCAAACTACTGCGGTCAGCATAATTTTTTGAATAAACTACCTAGTTAGTTCCAAAATAAAACAATTTATCGTGACACAATATGAGGGAGAGCTCAGCAAGTAAGTGCATAAACATTTATGTGTTTGTTTAAATTTGCGATAGAATAAACATTGCCAAATATGTATACTATATCATACTATATATTATTATGCGGCACCATGCCGCTAAAACTGTTGCAAATTATGCAATTAACGCTGAAAATATGTTTATATAATTGAAAATATGCACCTATTTCGAACTGTTAGACGTTATTTGTAGTATTTTTGCTAGTAGTATTGAAGGACTAATAAACATTAATGTAGAGCCAGTCTGTTTAACGTACCCTTCTTTTTCCTATAAAAAATATGTTGCGTTAAGGGCAGTGTTATTGGTACTATATTTTTCCTTCATACATGGGGTATTTGAACTGTAAAAAATTTCGGAAAAAAAAATTAAAGAACGGATGCGACATTAAATTAGCTTTTCCCTCATTTTTGATGTTTTATCTATAGGTCGAAGCCGGTGCAGTTATTCGTACATGATTAATGAAATTATTAAATACAGATACAGAGAATACATACAATTTTTAATAATGCGAAGCGTTTCTAAGTATACCTGAAAAGATGAGAACGGTTTTTTTTCTGAAGGCTAGAACTCTGATGCTCAAAGAGCAGGCCGAAAGTGAAGTGTTTTGGAAAATGTATATTTCACAAAGGCGTGGAATTTAATACAGTTCTTAACTGTTTAAGGGTCAAATTGTCCATTGTTCTGATTTCATAATCAGGCCTACAATTGACAAAGTTCGTATATTCGATGCTGCTGAAAACCTGTTTTAAAAGAGAAAATTTATTTATTTTATTTTTCTGCGAATGGTTGAATAGATCTAAACAATAACTAGAATCTTTTCTATTGCTAATTATATCTTTAATTATATATTAATTAATCCAATTGATTTTGGCTGGGAACATTTTGAAACACAGAACGATATTTCATTCGTTCCCAGATTGTTACAATGCTGGCATTGATCTATATTTCGATGAAAAATATTTTTTTATTGTTGTCTTTTGCCACTACTCTTTGCGACTCGCAAAGTTTCTCAAATTACTTCTTAATGACTTAATGATTAGTTATCATATTGCTTTGCACACTTTATTTCCTTAATAGCGCGTCAAACCACTATACATGGCACTAACATTTTCCAAAATATCATTAAGAATAGTATTAATGTGAAGTTTCGTTTACATTCATCACTGCTATTGCATAGTTGAGTATCACAAAAACACAAAAGTCTATTGTTTATCTTTACACATCCGTTTTTTATTTTAATATTTTGCTTATTCGTAGCATACGTGCAACCTCTTCGGGTTGTTCTATGATGCTTCATTTGGAAAACCTCCAAGTAACAAAACCCGTTTCTATTTGGCGGGCATACAAATGTTTTGTTCACTCGATCTTCTAACTTTGAGTAGGAAAAAACACTGGCATCGCATATTGGTAGAAGATCGGCAGAGGATGAGTTACATTGATAACAGATCAGGCTTTTAGCTTGTTCAACAGCGGGATTAAATGATTTTTTAAAGTTGTCACGAGGGTCTTCAAGCGAGATCATGGTACAAATTAGCAGTAAAATTAATTGGAAATGAATTTTGAGGATATACTGTCAAAGTATATACTTTGAAATAATCATTCTAAGGTTTTAAAGTGGTGTCATTGTGATGGCTTTAAAATGAGGTATGTTCGATATGTAACCAGAGACGGTATATTCATATTCTTGTAATAAACGAATGCGTTTTGGGAATATTTTTGTCAAGGCTTTGGCCACTAGACTTTTTATATATTTTAAAGTTATAGTACTCACTTTTACAGTGAAAGATCAGTTAGCAGGAGGTAGAGATAGGTACAATAAAAGATCAGTTGAGTCACGCAAAGTATTTATAAATATTTGTAAGTAACTAATAACAGTTTATCTCATAGAGAAAGTGTTAAAAATAGAACACTTTTAATTTTTGTTAAATGCGTTAATGTTTTTTGAATGCTTCAAAAATATTTAACTAATGAGGTGATGTTCTTTGGGTCAGTTTTTGGACCATGTCGCTCGACGACTTGTCCCTGTTTGTCCACAATAAATTTCGTAAAGTTCCATTTAATGAAGTCTCCTAAAGTGCCTCCTTGTTTGTGTTTCAAGTACACCCACAATGGGTGGGCATTTTTGCCATTCACTTCCACCTAAAATTTTAGAAAAACTCGCTCAAAACATCGCTAATGATATTGGATAAAGTCAGGGTATTTGATTGTAGGATAATACATTAGTTACCTTATCGAATAAGTCAAATTTCACATTTTTCTTGGAGACAAATTCGCATATTTGATCATTATTACCATCTTCCTGATTGCCAAATTGATTGCACGGAAATGCTGCATAAAATTGGTTTATTTTAGTCGAGCTTGAGCTAAATATAGAAAATCAGCAAATATGTACCTAAAATTCGGAGTCCTTTGCTATCTCCATATTTTTCGTACAGTTCATTGAGCTCTTCATAATTTGATTTTGTCAGTCCACATTTAGAAGCCACATTAACGATTAGACATACATGCCCTTTATATTTGTCGAGAGATACATCATTCCCTTTTATATCTTTCACAGTAAACTCGTAGATGCTATTTGCTTTTTTTGGGTCTTCGGGGTTTGTCATGGTCAAAGAATGGAATCTGGAAGGTTTTACCAAACAAATTTAACTATTATCAAATAATTTTAACATTGATGTACGCACTTCCTGAACGTTTCTTCACCCAATTATTATTGTATTATTAAATGTAGGTACACTAGTAACTAATCGGATTAGATGATTTGTTTGCTGAACAACTGCTGCAGGTCTACTGGTATTTGTATTTAAGTAGCTAGCATTATTACGCAACAAAGATTAGATCTTTAGAAACGCAGAATCAATTTGCTCAATACAAACAAGTGGATAATAGCTAAATGAGTGGGCTTTCTGAATTATTAATCATCACACAACAATTTTACGTTATGTATCCGGTAGACCAAATTCTATTTATTACGAAACACGATGATAAACGGAATTCATCGGTCAATAGACACTTTGTGAATTGTTTATTTATCCTTTTAGGTGCTAAGAAATGCATTTACAATTTTTTTTTGAACTACTCGGTATTTGGGTATTAAATACGTGATAAAAGATAGGTACGGAGTTGCCGGTAAGTAAGTGTGCGACATAATTCATTGGCTCACGAGATAGTTCGGAATTAGTCTTGCCATGATGACTAGTAAAAATTGATAAATTTTTTGCAATTTCATGTATAATGTGATGGCTCAAGTATTTTTATAACCTTTGTACTACTTATATTGTAATTTACTAGTCATGTAATTTCTATTTCTTTGCAGTAATAAGTTTAGAACATCAGCTAGCAAAAGTTGTTGAAACAAATTTCTGAAATTCCAGAAAATAAAGGAATGCCGACCACCGACGACCTAAAACTCTTGTGGGCTCCAGAAGAGCGATTTTCGCTCTTAACAGTTAGTTGCAAAATATTAATTTTCAGCGTTTCAAAGGGAGTGAGTTATTCCTTTTTTTCTTTCTTCGTTATTCCTGTTGTCCGAAATTATCTTTCTTTGTTCATCGATATTCAAAAACCTCCTGAGTTACCTGAATGTTGTTCGTTTACATACACGCACAAGAAATTTACATAAACGGTTTTCTCAAAGCGAAATTCCGGCGAATATCATGTATGCAAATATTTTCCGACTTTTAATAGAAAGTATATATGTAGTCTAAAGCCGTGTAAAGAACCGCTCAAGTTAATCATTTGAATAATTTTCTTGCACATTGCAATTGCACACTCAAATTTATAGCAACTTTACATTTTTCTTTATCACTTCGTATTTACAGTCCCAATTTTTTGAGCAAAAAATTCAGCAGGTTTTACTTTCCTCAAACGAGAAAACCTTTACTAAGTATAATAATCAGCAATATATGCTGCGACAAAGAATACTTAATTTACGACCCTCAAGTTGTATAATTGACTGTGTTTAAAACAATTCTGATATACATATACAAAATTTTATATGAACTAATATTTGGGTAATTACTCACAATAATCTCAGGGCCATTACATGTAAAATGGATCGTTTATACAAATGGGTATAACTTGTGAAAATTAAAGTATACCTACGATAATGCAAGATAAATGCCATCACTTTGATAATAGAAACTTACTTTTGCACAAATAAAGTTCCTACTAAAATTCTCGATTTAATAGCAATCGATATAATTTTTTCTAAGGGCAATTTTCTAAATGACCCATTTGAAAATAAAGCCATTACTAAATTGACTTTATAAACACCAAAGATAATGTAAGGTAATAGGCACGTGCGTGATCGCCTGTGTAGAGTATTGAGAATGAAACTATCATTTTCTATTCACTTCCTATGTTATTATGTAACGGGCTATATAAATAAGTTGCAGTCGTCATTGCTTTTATCACGCTATTTTTCGTGTTATGGAAACAAAATCGATTTCGTGTGAGCGATTGAACTCGATAAACATTTAGCACAAATTGTTATTAGATCTAAAATGTTAATTTATAAAATACATTTTAACTTTTCTTCATTAAATTATGCCCAAACTGGTTATATTTACGGGCTCTTAGGCCGCTGTGAAAATTAATTCATTCCTAACGTTTTGCAAGAATTGGCTTGGACAAGTTTGRGGATGCAAGCCAATGGTGCTGGGGAAAGTCGGGAAAAAAGATTTYACAAAACGGCCTAAGAGCCCGAAAAAATTCACCGTTTTCAAACAATGGCCGCAAACGCCTCTTGTGATAAWTTATCTACGATTTGAGATAAGGTACTCATAAGATAATTCTATGATATTCTCAATAGGAAATTTCATMTSAATTATGTATTTCGAAATTTATCAGATTAAAGTGTTATAAGTGAAAACATATATTTTGTTTCTTTAAAATCATTATTATTGAGCGGTTGGTTMATTTTTTGAAAAATCMAGTTTGTRTTCTTTAATAGTTTATTTAACGCTTATACAGGGTGTTCGCACATTGCATTGAGATATCTTACAGGTGACCTAGAGACCGAAATTATACAACATTTCCGTAAGAGAGAACTCTCTTAACGTTGTACGCCTTGGGCTAAGCTTAGGACATTCGATTTTGTTTAATAAGTGGAATTCGCAGAGTTGCRAGGTCTTCTGCGTAAATATTGCCCCATCCTTTTTATTTGTTACAGCTCTGAATTTTKAAACACATGTTGTTGAAGGAAAAATAATTYTTACTGGAAAAGGTCCACTTGCTTCATTTAGTTAAAATAGACCGTTTTATAGAAAAATTAGTTTTAATAATCCAATGCACGATTACAAAGGCATTGAAACAGGGCTTTAAAATAGTATACTGTACATATATTCTTATTTTCCTA